GTCACCCACAAATAGTGATAATTTAAGTTCTTCTTTTCCTATTTTTATGCCTTTAATTTCTTTTGTCTGTCTAATTGCTCTGGCTAGTATTTCAAGGACTAAATTGAATAAAAGTGGTGAGAGAGGGCATCCCTGTCTTGTTCCAGATTTTAGAGGGAATGCCTTCAGTTTTTCTCCATTTAGGATGATGCTAGTCTGAGGCTTAGCATATATAGCTTTTACAATGTTGAGGTACGTTCCCGTTATCCCTAGTTTTTCTAGTGTTTTGAACATAAAGGGATGCTGTACTTTGTCGAATGCTTTTTCTGCATCTATGGAGACAATCATATGGTTCTTATCTTTACGTCTATTGATGTGGTGAAGAACATTTATTGATTTCCGTATATTGAACCAGCCTTGCATCCCAGGGATGAATCCTACTTGATCATGGTGCACAATTTTTTTATATGCTTTTGTATTCAATTCATCAGGATTTTATTGAGAATTTTTGCATCTAACTTCAATAGAGATATTGGTCTGTAGTTTTCTTTCTTTGCAGTGTCTTTGTCTGGTTTCGGAATCAGGGTGATGTTGGCCACATAGAATGAGTTTGGAAGAGTTCCTTCTTTTTCTGTTTCTTGAAATAGCTTGAAAAGTATTGGTATTAATTCTTCTTTGAAGGTTTTGTAAAACTCTTCGATATACCCATCCAGTCCTGGGCTTTTCTTGGTTGGTAGTCTTTTGATGGCTTCTTCTATTTCTTCCTTTGTTATTGGTCTGTTTAAATTGTGTCTTCCTGACTCATTCTGGGCAGACCATATGACTTAAGAAATTTATCAATATCTTCATTGTCTTTTATTTTATTAGAATATAGGGTTTCAAAATACTTTCTAATTATCTTCTGTATTTCTGTAGTGTCTGTTGTGATATTGCCTTTTTCATCCCATATGTTAGTAATTTGAGTTTTCTCTCTTCTTCTCTTTGTTAGCATGGCTAAGGGTCTGTCGATCTTATTTATTTTTTCAAAGAACCAACTTTTAGTTTTATCAATTTTTCAATGTTTTTTTTGTTTCAATTTTGTTGATTTCCACTCTGATTTTAATTATTTCTTGTCTTCTGTTATATATGCTGTTGTTTTCCTCTTCCTTTTCTAGGGTTTTGAGATGTAGTGTGAGTTCATTTATTTGTTGTTTTTTTCTTTTCTTTTTTTTTTTTTTGAGGAATGAACTCCAGGAAATGAATTTCCCTCTTAAAGCTGCTTTCATTGTGTCCCATAGATTCTTGTATGTTGTGTCTGTATTGTCGTTTATCTCTACGGATTTTTTGATTTCCTCCTTTATGTCTTCTGTAACCCATTGATTATTCAGTACATGATAAAATGCTCACCATCTCTAGCAGTCAGAGAAATGCAAATCAAAACCACCCTGGCGAGGATGTGGGTACACTTGTACATTGCTGGTGGGACTGCAAATTGGTGCAGCCAATATGGAAAGCAGTATCAAGATTCCTGGGAAAGCTGGGAATGGAACCACCATTTGACCCAGCTATTGCCCTTCTCAGACTATTTCCTGAGGACCTTAAAAGAGCATACTATAGGGATACTGCCACATCAATGATCATAGCAACACAATTCACAATAGCTAGACTCTGGAATAAACCTAGATTCCCTTCAATAGATGAATGGATAAAAAAATGTGGCATTTATACACAATGGAGTATTATGCAGCACTAAAAATGACAAAATCATGGAATTTGCAGGGAAATGTATGGCATTAGAGCAGATTATGCTAAGTGAAGCTAGCCAATCCTTAAAAAACAAATGCCAAATGTCTTCTTTGATATAAGGAGAGCAACCAACAGAGCAGGGAGGAAGAGCATGAGGAAAAGACTAACATTAAATAAAGACGAGTGGTGGGAGGGAAAGGGAGAGAGAAGGGAAACTTTATGGGAATGGAAGGAGACCCTCATTGTTACACAAAATTACATATAAGAGATGGTGAGGGGAAAGGGGGAAAAGAAACAAGGGAGATAATTCAATAACAGCAGATGGGGTAGAGAGGGAAGATGGGAGGGAAGGGGAGGAGGGATAGTAGGGGATAGGAAAGGTAGCAGAATACAACAGCCACTAATATGGCATTATGTAAAAATGTGTATGAGAAACTGATGTGATTCTGCAACTTGTATTTGGGGTAAAAATGGGAGTTCATAACCCCCTTGAATCAAATGTATGAAAGATGATATGTCATGAGCTATGTAATGTTTTGAACAACCAATAACAAAAATTAAAAAAAGAACATATTCTTGCTTTGTGATGGATCTTTTCTAAAATTCATAAACTATGAAATCCATTGGATAGGGATGGGCCAGAAGTTACAGTTATATAAGCAAATAAGTGTGAATGAAATAAGGGATAATTTGGCTGAATTATGATATATATGTATATGCTGTATCCTTACATTTCTATATATGTTTACCTTTGACTGTTATGATATATGAAAACCTTAATGAAAAACTTATCTTTTACTTTTCTTTGTTTGTCTACTGTCACCCTATGGCTGTTCACCTATCATGACTTAACTCAATTATTCATTAATTCAGCAAACATTTGAGATCTTTTATGTCCAAGGAATTCTGTCAAAAGAATCAAAAAGAATCAAAAGAATCAAAAAAGAATCTAAAGAATCCCTCATAAAAACATTGTTTATGATTAAGTAGGAAAACAAAAGAGGAGGGGAAACAGTATCACAAGTGTGTGGTTTATTTGATGAATGAGCTGAAACTCCTTTACTTTCTCTTTGCTAGGCATTATATTCTCTTGTCTTATTCCTACTCCCGTGAAGCCTTGTAGAAACCATTTCTTTTTGACTACAATAGGTGTATTAGTTTTATTTATATATGAGGAAAGTTTTCAACCTGCCCAAGGTTACATATAGTAAATAAAGTTTCAGACTTGAGACTAGAATTTTCTGGATCTTGCATACAGGATCATAGTATTCATACAGTTATTTGCATTCTCACTAATTGCTTAATAGAAAAAGAAGAAAAAAACATAGATGGCAGTTGTGACGAAAGAGTTTGTAAGGTATCCTAATGGAAAGTGGGATTTTTAGATCTATTATAATTCACTGAATTCAACAACTTCTGACCTATAGTTAGAATTTCTGATTTCTCCTGGGCTCTTTTGATTTTTAATCTGCAGTATTTTCAAAGGTCTGAGAAGGGCATAACAAAAAGCAATTCATCATGTTGGTCAGCAGAGATCTATATTTCCCTAGAGCAAAGCAGTGAACCTTTGAGTTTCAAGCAGCTTGAGATGTTGAGACCAAACATTCACATTTCAGACATAAAATAGTAAAAGGAAGTAATAACCTATGAAAAATGCATTTCAGCCCTAATTCTATGTTATACTTCCTCATCAAGAGAGACTGTTGCCATATCATATGCAGAAGCAGTTAAGCTCTCTCACTTGCCCTGGGATCAGGGGAATGCACTAGGAATGATTGACCAATTAAAGCAATATAATCCATATGGATAAGGAAGAGGAGCTTGTGTATTTAGTAAAGGCCATTTCTAATGTGCCTCTAGAAGCTATGCCAGCTCTTTAATGGATACCTTGGCTGCGTGAAAACAGCAGGAAACTATATTACACTGTAGATGCTACAATTTAGGTGGCCCCCTGCTACTTATTTTGCTGACAAGCAGGTTGTATAGATAGAATAGGGATTATGTTTCATGGAGTTCTATCTTCTTTTACCTTAGCATTCTTTTTAAAGCTTTTAAAAAAAATTTATACTCACTTAAAAATGCTCTGATTGAGGGAGAGCTGAGGTCCTGCTAAAGAGAAAACATTTAGCTCACTATGTAAATAGCTCATCTGTCTTCCAAGAAGTTTTCATACATTTGATTTACAGCCAGTTCAGGTGACTAAGCAGTCAAAAGACAGTGGTTTTCAAGAGTCAAAATGAGAAGGAAGTTCTGAGCAGGCCTAGTTGGAAGTAATATTTTTATTATAACTTCCCTTCATGTACACTAGTGTACCAAAACTTGACTCCATGTACACTCACTTGTGCAGTTCTGAGTTCCCTTTTAGGTATTTGCTCAATTACGAATAATTTCCTTGGATTAATCTTGTTTACTATTTCTCTCTTCATCTGGGCCTAAACTGCTATTAAATACATTGACTAAATTTTTATATCAGTTATTTATATTTTTGGAAATTCCATTTATTTTTTTCTAGGTTTCTTAGTAATTCTTTATGGTTTATTGCTAAGGGTCATGTCATTCCTTACTTATATCTCTCAGTTGAGAATATTAGGAAACAACATATCTAAAAGAGATTGTCTTTATTGCTATAGAACAATGGTCAGTATATTCTGATTTAACAATATTGTCACAGTTTTTATAGAATACTTATATAATAATAGGTTGTAATAATGTTCTGTGTTTACAAATCTCAATTCCCTTGGAGGGGTCTGCAAGGTTGCAAGTGGATTCTATGGACCTTTCCTACCTACCTGGTGTTACCTTTCTTCTAATTCATCTCTTTAGTCCACTGGGCATTTTTAAGTTTCTATCTCAGGGCCTTTGTATGTTGAACTTTTGCTTAGAATTTTTTTCTTTTTTTCCAGGGATATTTCTGATCATTATCTGGTCTCACTTTAAATTTACTTTCCTCAGGTAAATCTTTCCTGCTTACTCAGTATAAAATCTAATTATTCCCATTGTTTAGCATTTGGTATTTTATAGCATTTTTCACATTTTGTAATTATATAGGATTGTGGTTATTAAATGACTTACTTCCATATTGTTCAAACTCCACAAAGGCAGAGAGCATGTCTATTTTATCACTACTATTTCAGTATATACCTAAGGTCACAAATAACAGAAGAGCATAAGAATTTTCTCAGTTTTGTCTGGTATAAAATGAAGATAATAGTTAATATCCACATTTTCTGCTAGAAGTTAAAGGAGAATAAAATGTTAATATAAGAAATAATTCATAAAGTAGATATACTGATGTTGACTAAATGACATGGCATGTACTCCACCCCCAACATTAAGTTTATATATGTTTCAGCAAAAAATTCCAAGTGATGTATGCCATAGGCCTAGTTTGTCATTTTTGAGTAGAGACAGTAACCAAGAGAATATAAATACATTTCTGAGAATAGTTTGATTTGGTAACAGAGGGATTATTTGGATGCATGACTGAATGGAGTGAGAAGAAAAAGAACCAAAAACTCAGTGATGAGAAGGACTAGAAAGAAAGGGAAAGAAAACCACATGTAATAAGACTGCAGAAAGTGGTTTGGGAATTTTTATAAAATGTTGCTGAATAAGTGGCCAAAAGCCATGAAAGTTTTATATATCATTATTATATACTGAATGTTTGTATGCCTCACCCAACCCCCCACCAATCCAAATGTCAAAACTCAATACCCATTGTATCTTTATTTTGAGATAAGAGCATGTGCATGGATGTTAAAGGTTAAATGAGGTCATTGGGGGTGGACCCTAATTCCATAGAGATGATCCCCTTATAAGAAGAAGAGACATCAAAACCTCATCTCTCTCTCTCTCTCTCTCTTTCTCTCTCTCTCCCCCTCCTCCCTCTCTCTCTCCTCCCCCTTTCCTCTCTCCCTCTCTCTCTCTCTGTACTATATGAGGACACAGAGAGAAGGTGTCAGCAAGGAAGCCCTTAATATAAACCAAAATGTTGCTGAACCTTGATCTTGGGCTTTCCTTCCCCTAGAACTATGAGAAAATAAATCTCTACTGTTTAAATCACACAATAAGTGTATTTTGTTATAGCTACATAAGTAGACTGAGTCATATCAAAGATAAGATAGTTGAATTAGATAACACAGTTCTCCATTCAATACAGGAACTCAAGACCAATGGAACTGTAGATTGAAAGGACTATTCCCAGTGTGTCAGGCTGCTGTATAAACTTGATTTTGTTACTATTCATGCGAGAGCATTAGGACTGATATGAACTTTTTAGTCAACCAAATACTATAACAAACCCTCTGGTATATAATTTCTCCACTTTTATGACAGGTGAATATATAATCATTCCTAAAATGTAGATTTCTGATTAGTGTACATCAAATACCAACTGAAAACCCTTATGCTGTAGACTGAACTTAATTTATTATTGTGTGTTACACTATTTATATTGAAGTGTTTTTAAAAATAAATGATCACAGAGGTAGTGTAACTGAATTTTCTGTGTCAATTTGGCATAGTCATGTTTCTGCTTTTAGAATATCACTTTATTAGCAATTGGGAGAATAGATTGAGGATAAGATATGGCAGAGGTGTTTCTAAAAGACCATTTAAGGAAAGTACATAAAGAGAATTTTGGCTCTCATAGATACAATTTAGATAAAAGATGAGTTAGCAGATTTGAGTTTTTCTTAACATGCGAAATGTGAAGAAGCAATGGTACATTAAATCCTGTGAGGGATTCAAAGGTATCAAGAATTATTTATGAATTTAACTTGCTCAACTAGATGGAAGGAGGTTGTGTTTGGGATAGGAGACATTAGTAAGGTCCAAGTTTGAGGGTAAAAGAATATGACTGTAGGCTTAAGCCTGGTGATTTTTTCCATGCACTTGAACTGTGTTAGTAGAAATATTAGAAAGGCAGTTTCATGTAATGCTCTGAAATTGTTTATTTGTGGGGATATAATTTGATTTTATCTATCACCCTCATAAATAAGTTTATTGGTTTGGTTGGTAATACCTAGAGAGGTGGAGATTAAGAAGTGAAAATGGAGGGAAACTTTTTTGATGAACCATGAAGAACTTCTACATTTAAGAATCTGTTGGAGGAAGATGAATTTACAAAGAAGAAATTACCACAGAGATAGAAAAACTCAGAAAATTATAAAAGCTATTTTAAAGTGGATTTCTAGAGAAGGGAAGTTTCATTGTTATTACTGCAGTGAATAGTGAAGAAAAACGATCTAAATTTTTCATTTGTGGGAATAGAAAGGTCATTGACACATCTACCACTGATAAATATAGAATGATAGAATAGAAACTGGGATGTGCAAAAGAAGAGCAATGGAAGTTCAGAAATGGACAGTGTTCCTTGAGTAGATTTCTGAATATGGATCCCTTTTTCCATGTGGCAGGGTCCTTCCATCTACATTGTGTATAGTATTTAGGAAATATAAATTATTGTTTTGACTTAAATAATTTTTTGTTCTGAAACTGTTTACTGCAGTCAAATAAATGAATGCCTTATGTAGGGAATTCCCAGCATTATTTAGCTGGTGAGTATATGCATTTTCAATATTTTTAGACTTTACAAAATTTTAGCAGTTACTGTTTGTATGCTCCTAAGATAATGTGTGATAATAACTTCATATTCTTTAGCTTAATTCCTCTCCTGTATAAAGTATGTTTTATGGAGTATTACCACTATTGATTTTTTATTGCTTCCAAGATTTTTAAATATATTTTTTCTGTTTTTTAATGTGACTGATAAAGTTACAGATAATGCTGCAGCGTCATGAATTCTGGTGTATATGCAGGAAATGGCTCCACCTTGTATATTGTTATTTCTAAATACAATTGAATTCTAACTATCTTAACTCTGATCATTTTATTTTGATCCAGTTTTATGAATTACATTTGTTTTCAAGAAGTCTCTGAAGACTATGTCCTATGAGTTTATACTAACATTAAAAACAAATTTTATGATGATTACTATATGATGTTAAATCAAAATGAAATCATATTATAGCATTGGCAAAAGCCAGAAAGAGCTTTATTCTAATATAATGCTTATGTACCACTGTTACAAATGTTGCTGTTATGAATTTGACATTAAAGGAAAGTCTCCTGATTTATATATGATTGGCCTTGAAGGTCATTTCTAAAGAAGTGTTTGAAAACTAAATTTTACCCTTGAGGTAGAAAAAAGCCTTTAATAAATCTTTCCACCCCCATTTTTATTTTCATTGGGCTGATCCTGTTTGTGGACTTAGTGTATGTATCAGTTACTCCAGAATATATTTCATGAGCTCTTTGATAAGAAAGATGTCTCTTAGTTTTGGTGGCATAATATCCTAATTGAAACTTTATGATTACCTGTCTATTCTGCTAATTGAGCATTCCTGGAAAGAATAAACTATTCTTGCTTAGTTTTTTGTAACTCCAATGTTTAGCAGTGTGTAGTCAAGTAATAGCAGATTAATTGAATCTACTGTACTCTTGAATATTTTCTAGAGAATCAGTTCATGTAGTAAAAAAATCTTGAAACTTTCAATTCTGGAAACAAGTTGCAGAAAAAAGGATGTGCCTGTGTCTATCCTTGCACAGTCCTAATTGCCCCTAGCATTGATTCCTCTGGGGCAATGTAACACATTTATTTGTAACTGTAGATACAGAAAATAAAGAGATAAAGGTGAAAGAAACTACAGAGTATCTAAACCCCTGACCCTTGTCACTCAATGCATAAACATTTTTATTTTCCCTTCCACATTCAAAAGTATCTATAGTTGTATAGGTGGCCTCATTTGGAGGTGGGGAGTGGTCATTCAGTATCCCTTCCATCTACCTCTGCAACTCCCTTTCTATCTTAGGAAACCCTTCATCTGCCATTCTCAGTGCCATGATTCTAGAGTAGGACAAAAGATTCAAGCACCTCATCTGTTCTATACTCAGATTATTGTGCTTCTTTTGTAATTATATGTATATAATTTGTATTTATATTTTTTCAACACTTTTTCCTTAATTAACATGGTAACCATGAAAAGAGTAGTGGGATCTGTGTATTTACCATCTCCTATTTCTGTCTACTTTGTTCCTCAACATATATTTATCACATCTAGTCATTAAAGTCCAGTGCCCAAACATTAATTAACAGTCAATTTAAAGTGATCAAAAGTTCCTCAAATCCAGTGATTTGGATTTGATGAAATATAGTAAAATTATTATCTATATAAGGAAGCCCATTTTTCTATTATCAGCAGTGGTTTTAAGCTGTATTAACTTTGTGTATAATTAACTATGTGCATAGAAATTTTATTTTTCCAATTAACAAATGTTTAAATGGACATTCTGTTGACTTAGTTTTAAAATGTCTCTTTAGCCTATGGAATTTTGAATACCATTGCATTAATGAAAGAGAAACTAAAACTTACTAACCCTCTAAAAATAGAATTCTATTGGAAATTTTAATATTTAAAAAAAGAAGATTACCCTTCTAGAAGATCACCTACAGAAGGATGATCTGTTTTATCACCCTTCCCTCAGGAATTTAAAAGAAAAAGTAAAATGAAATACCAGTTCACTAAAGCAAGCACCCTGCCCCAAGGTTTGGCAAAGTGCATCCTGTCTTACTGTTTCTACTGCAGCTTCTACAGGGAAAAAGTCAGTCTCCAGAGGCAGCTCCAGCCCCTCAGGCTAAAGATTTTCCCTCTTCCAAATAATGAATCCAAAATGGAAGAAGAAAAAGGTAAAATGCCAATGTCTTGTTAAAAGTTTTGAAAAGTTTCCAAAATTTTTGACAATGGAAAAAAGAGAAATTATCCTGAAAGACATCACTGGCCTGGTAAACAACTTGCAAAATGATCACATTTACTACTTTAAAGCTGTGAAGTGCTCTTCTCATCAAATGGAATTCTCTGCAAATGCTCCCTAAGTTGTCCAAGTGATGGCAA